CTTGAGCGGCAATATTTTTAAAGGAATCTTTTTTTTTCTGAGCAGTAAGTCTCAACAGTGGTCTAAAATATTCAGCAAGCCATGTTGTAGTCAGCTGTGCTGTCTTCCAGGCTTTGTTGTTCCAGAGCACAGGCGGGGTAGATTTAGCAGAATCCTTAAAGGCCCCAGGATCTTCAGAATGGTAAATGAGCACTGGCTTCAACTTCATGCCACCAGCTGCATTAGCCTCCAACAAAGGAGTCCGACTGTCCTTTGAAGATTTGAAGTCAGGCATTGACCTCTCCTCTCTCGCCATGAAAGTCCTGATGGCATCTTCTTCCAATGGAAGGCTGTTTTGTCTACATTGAAATCTGTTGTTTGGTGTGGCCACCTTCATTAATTATCGTATCTAGATTTTTCTGGATAACTTGCTGCAGCTTTAGATCAGCACTTGCTGCTTCACCTTGCACTTTTATGTTATGGAAGTGGCTTCTTTCCTTAAACTTCTGCACTTCCTCACTTCTCTCGGCCTTCATAGAATAGAATAGAGTTAGGGTCTTGCTCTGGATTAGGCTTTGGCTTAAGAAAATGTTGTGGCTGGTTTGGTCCAGACCATGAGAATGTTTTCCATATCAGCAACAAGGCTGTTTCACGTTCTTACCATTCGTGTGTTCACTGGAATAGCATTTTTAATTTCCATGAAGAACTTTTCCTTTGTAGTCACAACTTGACTGTTTGGTGCAAGAGACCTTGTTTTTGGCTTGTGTTGGCTTTCAACATGCCTTCCTCACTAAGATTTCGAGCTTTTGGTTTAAAGTGAGAGATGTACGATTCTTCCTTTCATTTGAACATTTAGAGGCCACTGTCAGGTTATTAATTGGCCTATTTTCAATATGGTTGTGTCTCAGGGAATAAGGAGGACTGAGGAGAGGGAGAAAAGTAGGGAAATGGCCAGATGTTGGAGCAGTCAGAACACATACATACTTATCGATTAAATTCGTGATGTCCCAAAACAATTATAATACTAACATCAAAGATCATGATCGCAGTTCACCATTGCAAATCTATACTAATAAAAGGGTAATATGCTAATTAGACTGGATGACTGGACATCTTCCAGACGTCTAACTTCTTTCCGGACAGTTAGGGGGTGACCAGGCTGGCCGGGGGGGCAGTTAGGGGGTGACCAGGCTGGCCGGGGGGGCAGTTAGGGGGTGACCAGGCTGGCCGGGGGGGCAGTTAGGGGGTGACCAGGCTGGCCGGGGGGGCAGTTAGGGGGTGACCAGGCTGGCCGGGGGGGCAGTTAGGGGGTGACCAGGCTGGCCGGGGGGGCAGGATCAGGCCTAAACCGGCAGTCGGACATCCCCCGAGGGGTCCCTGATTGGAGAGGGTGCAGGCCGGGCTGAAGGATTCCCCCCACCCCCCTGCACAAATTTTGTGCACCGGGCCTCTAGTATAATAATAATGAAGGAGTCTGAACTGTGAGAATTTCCAAAATGTGACACAGAGACATGAAGTGAGCAAGTGCTTTTGGGAAAATGGCGCCAGTAGGGTTGCCACAAACCTTCAGCTTGTAAAGAGCGTAACATTAGTGAAATGCAATAAAACAAGGCATGGGTTGTACTTTTTAAAAAGTGCATTTCTCCCTCCAGGCTCACTAGGCAGCCTGGAGAGGAACAGCGGAGGTGTAAGGCAGGAGGCGGCTGTGTAGCGGTTAAGAGCGCACACTTTGACGTCAGAAGGTGTGGGTGCACGTTAAATTCTACCACTTCCTACATGTGAAGTTGGGCAAGTTTAATTTGCTTCTCTGAGATTCTTTACCCGTAAAATAGCAAAAAGAGGATTTGGTGGGGGAAGGTGTTCAGTGAGGGAGTGTGGGTAAAACACGCAGCATAGTCTGTACATGTTGAATCTGTTCCATCCAGATTGTGTGGCATGATCTAAGCCAAAGAGGGTGAGGAAGTTCAAACGCACTGACGAAAGGGTGGCTGGTGGGTGAGCACACGTTCTAGTTTGGGAACAGGAAACAGGAAATCAGGAAAGGGCTGAAAAGTTAAGCTTTAGGAAAATGAAGCAGAAAAGGAAGTTGGAGTAAGGGGGGCCGAGAAGCAAGAGAATAAGAGGGTGTGTGATTCAGGAATGGGATTTTCCAGGGCCAAGGTGTCGGTGGGCATTCAAGTAAGCATTAACCTATCTAATAATTGTCATCATTTGCTAATGATGTCATCAGTGAGTGAATACATATTTTCTATTAAAAAAAATCACTTTTTTTTTTAAAGGAAATTGAATTTGTGGATGGTTCCCTTTTAAAACTGAAAAGTTATATTGAAGTTTATTTGGAGCAGCCAATGGAGTTTAAATTACTGTTGGTTGAAATGGATTCCGACGAGATTGTATGGAAAGCGAAACTGAGAGAATGTAAGTGTTTTATATCCTAAAGGAAAACTGGTTTGTGGGTGGTGGGGGTGGGAAAGCAAATAGAGTAATTGTCTGTCCCGTCAGCATAACATTTAAAGATCTGATGGAGGGAAAGGCGCCGCTCCTGGGACAGAAGTGCAGCCCTGGTTCTCAGGCACCCACGTCCAGATCCTGGGGGTCAGTGGGTGGCTCAGCGTGTCTGCGGAGACTTCAGAGAGTGGTGGTGGGGGAGGGGGGAAGTTGGCCAGTGGAGGTGTTGTTTTCTTGAGGTTTGGATCTCAGATATTTTAGGGGTGTTGTGACACGACCTGGATGTAGCTCTGCATTTTGGCTGACTGTGTGTCTCATTGGCTGACTCTGCCTCTTTGGTCTTCAACAGATAGCTCCCGCTCTGTGCGATCACAGCTCTGCTGGGGGACCCCACTGCCCCTGTGTCCCCCTGTTCAAATTCTTGGGGCTGGGAAGCCCTGTGACAGCCCCCCCTCCCCTTTAACATCCTCTCCTGCTCATTATTTATCTCCAAAATCCAAGCCCAGCGCATTTGTGCAGATACCAAGCGAAACCCCAAACTCATATGCGAACTTCAGAGAGGTTGCCAAGACCCTAGAGCTCCATACACTTTCACAAGTTGATTTCTTGAATTCTGATTTCATACCAGTTTTTCTAAGTGATGCTTTCTGTGCTTTAACAGGTGACTGGGTTCAACATGATCAGAGTCAGAACGTTTCAAAAAGCAGCACAAGTGGTAAGTGCTGGTGACTGGACACTAAGCGAGTTGTGCCCAGTCTTGGGTTCCTCCCATCCGCTAGGATCTGTGCTTTGCTGTGCCGAGGTGGTTGCATTATGGATCTGTTAAGTGCTCTGTGACTCTGTTAACCATCGGAACAATCTTGGAATCCATTTTCAATTGGTTTCTACCTGAATGATGATGCTTTTTTTAAAAAAAAAAAAACCACACAGATTGAAGGTAATAAACATAATGAAAAGCAAACTTGTTGATTCTTTTTTTTTTTTTTAAGGTAAAAGGCGACGTAAAGTAAGTAACACTCTACCTGAAGAGGAGGTCAGTGCTAAAAGAATGAAGCAGGTTGACACTTCAGGTTTGTAACATTGTCCTCTGTGGCCATCAGTTATTCCCCTGGGCTCTCCCGTCGATGTGCATCCATCACACATGCTCTCGGGTCGGCGTTCCTAGCGCCACATCCGGTTGTGGGCGCCTGTGTCCCAGCGCCTCGGGCCTGGATAAGGGTCCTCCGTGGCCTGCCCCGGCCTATTTTCCCATTCGATTCCCCACTTTTCCCCTTCACTCAGCAGAACTGTGAGGTAGGGGGGGTTCCTTGCAGTCCTTAAAGGTAGGGCCATACCTACCCATCTTTACATTTCCCATAGCACTGTGCATGGAGCCTTCGTGTAGGAGACAGTGAGCATTGCTTGAATGAATGGAATTGTGAATGTCCATGTGTGCGTTCATTGGCTTCACTGTTTTTTTAGCTGTTTCGGGGTGAAGCACCTCCAGTTCAGTCAATAGAGGCAGGTCTCAACTTATTTTCTTTCAATTAAATGGCAGAGACCAAGGCTCAAAAGTTGTGAAAATACAGTGGAGATTTAAAACATTTAACAATACCCTAAGGAGCCAGTTGATGGAATTTGTAGTTCAAAATGCAAGTCCAACAAGAATTCACAAATCTGATTTTAAAAGCCCAGACCCAAATTATATGAGACAAGATCTCAAGCATTTAGGGACCTCACATAGGTCTCCAAATTAACCCTTTCACCAAAGTACCTTTTCTTTTACTATTATTGTAAGAAGGTATGAATCTATAAAAGCAGACAAACTTTATAAAATGAAATAAGATATCTATCTCACTTTCTAGAGCAGGAGACTGTGAGGATGACGTGTGGTTTTACTGTATATTGCTATAGAGATGTTCGTTATTTTTATCAAGTCAACACCAAAATAAGTGAGGCTCTGGAATTATTTTTAAAACCTAACTACATTGAGATACAATTTTTTCCAGTTCTATTGAGGGATATTTGACAGATAAAATTGTATATACTACAGTGTACAACATGATGATTTGGTATACATGTACATGATGAAATATTTATCAATCAAGTTAACAGATTCATCACCTCACAGTTGCTTTTTATTTTAGTGGCGAGAACACTTAAGATTTACTCTCTTAGCAAATTTTAAGTATATAGTATGATACGGTATTATTAGCTATAGTCACCATGCTGTACATTAGATCCTCAGAAATTATTCATCTTATAACTGAGTGGGACATAGTTTTTATTTGATTTATAGGACAAGTTTTTCTTCTTTAAAAAATATGTTTTTATTGATTGTAGAGAGAGAGGAAGAGAGAGGGATAGAGAGAGATAGAAACATCGATGAGAGACAAACATCAGTGGACTGCCTACTGCATGCCCCCTACGGGGAATCGAGCCTGCAACCCAGGCATGTGCCCTGACCAGGAATCAAACTGGTATACTCTTGGTTTATGGGTCAACACTCAACCACTGAGCCATGCTGGCTGGGCAAGTTTTTCTGTTTTATGCAATTATTTGGCTATTTAAAATGAGCCCAGGTGGCGTGGCTCACTGGTTGAGTGTCGACCTATGAACCTTGCCCAGGTTATGGGCTTGGTCCCCAGTAGGGGTTGTGCAGGAGGCAGCAGATCAGTGATTTTCTCTCATCATCGATGTTTCTATCTCCCTCTTCTTTCCTCTCTGAAATCAATAAAAAATATATTTTAAAAATATTAATAAATAAATAAAATAAAATGAGTTCCAATAACAAGTAGCTAGAAATAGAATCAAAACGATCAAATTCACCCAGAAAGATTAAGGATTTCCAACTGTTTTGGAGTTGACAGCGTAGGATCTAAATAAATAAATATTTTTTGTTTGTTTGTTTAGGTATTCCCTCAATAATATTCTTTGAGATGTCCAGTCACTAGCCTGGTAGTTTCAGACTCAGTATATCACTGTGTTGCTTTTAAAAATATGATCAGCCCTCAGCCCGAACAGAATTATTTTGAGATCTTGTTAAAATTTAGGCTCAGAGTCTGATACAATGAGTTTTAGGATGATCTTGAGAACTTTCATCTAAATAGGTTCCCTGGCAGTCGTTTTTATCGTCAGGAGTCTGGAGAGCTAGGAGCGGTCGGCCATGTATCAGGAAACCACCAGAGGGCGAAGGCCTTCTTTAAGAACCCATTCTTCAGACTAGAACAGTGGTTCTCAACCTTCCCAATGCCGCGACCCTTCAATACAGTTCCTCATGTTGTGGTGACCCCCAACCATAAAATTATTTTCGTTGCTACTTCATAACTGTAATTTTGCTGCTGTTATGAATCGTAATGTAAATATCTGATACGCAGGATGTATTTTCATTGTTACAAATTGAACATAATTAAAGCATAGTGATTAATCACAAAAACAATATGTAATTATATATGTGTTTTCCGATGGTCTTAGGCGACCCCTGTGAAAGGGTCGTTCGACCCCCAAAGGGGTCTCGACCCACAGGTTGAGAACCTCTGGTCTAGAAAGTTAGAGAGAGGAAGCCCAAGTGGAAAAGGGTCCAAAAACAAATGTTAGATCCACATTAATAAATTGTTGTCTTTAGAGCAGAGGTGTTGCAGTCCTGGAGGAGGGGCAGGAATTCTTCTTACCTCTCCCTCTCATATCCTCCAGTATTTGTCATGCCTTGAGGATCCTTACCCGGAACTCTACAACCTGTGAGCTTGGCTGCATCATAGCACAAAGTGATCGTTGCAAATCTAGTTTAATGATAGTGCTAATATTTTTTATGGGGCCAGTGGTTTGCATTGGCAATATATGCCTTTCCAAGATTATAACACTGCTTCTCGGAGATCAACAGCTATTACAAATACCATTCCATGACTTTCCTATGGAACGTGCTATTCCCCTAGTGCCAGGAGATGGTGAAATAGAGACTTCAATGCAGACATCTTGCGAGCATTTATATGAGATACAGAGGTGGGCAAGGGCAAAGCTGTATATTTTTCTTTTTGAGCCACATAAGTTCTTTTTGATATCTGAATTTTTTTATTCCAACCTGATTTGTGCTGTTTTATGAAAGTCACATTTGTAATTATGAACATTATACCCCAGTTTAATATTATTATATAAAAGAGTTCCCTTTACTTAAGATATTTTGGATAGCAAGGATTTTTTGGCATTTAAATATATTTTACAAGCAGTTACAATTACTACAAATATAGTCTCCTTTTCTTTTTTTTTTTTTTTAATCCTCACCCGAGGATATTTTTCCATTGATTTTTAGAGAGAGGGAAAGACAGGGAGAAATATCGATGTGAGAGAAACACATTGATTGGTTGCCTCCTGCACGCGCCCTGACCAGGGCCTGGGCCAGGGAGGAGCCTGCAATCGAGGTACGTGCCCCTGACTGGAATCGAACCTGGGACCCTTTGGTCCGCAGGCCAAGTCTCTATCCACTGAGCCAAAGCGGCTTGGGCTAGTCTCTTTTCTAATAGGAGGAGAATACATTTTCATTGTAAGTAGTTATCAATGATTAAGTGTTGAGAGGAACTACTGAATTCCTCATCTGCTTTTAGATGGAGCCAAGACCCTGTTAACAGACGATCAGTTGATTACTCTTGCTGGGAAGTTGGGGAAGGAGTGGAGAGAAATTGGCATTGAAAACCTGGAGTTGGACAGAAGCGATATTGATGATATCCGGAAGAAGGAAGAAAATGTGACAATTTGTAAGTTTCGGATGCTGAAGAAGTGGCAAGACAAGGAGCTAAGCAACGCCACAGTCCAGAATTTATATAACTGCTTGAAAAACGTCTCAGTTGAAGTCCAGGATGTGCTGGAAGGTGAGCAGGAAATGGTCTGAAGTCATTAGCTTGGAGTCCAGCTGTGTCTTTGTGAATAGCAAATTTCCACTGTAAAATGTGAGTCTTGTTTATTTGTAAGCTTGGGTTCAGATTACTACGCAAATGCAGCAGTGAGCTGGTGGCCTGCGATAGCCTAAGTAATGATGTTATGTGCATGGAGTCAGAGGAAGGGGTTCAATCCCAGCTCAGGTGCTGGCTAGCTTTGTGACTAAGCAAATTCTTTTTTTTTTTTTCTGATATATATATTTTTTATTTCAGAGAGGAAGGGAGAGGGAGAGAGAGATAGGAACATCAGTGATGAGAAATCATTGATGATCGGCTGCCTCCTGCCTTCTACTGGGGATTGAGCCCATAACCGGGGCGTGTGCCTTTGACCGGAATCCAACTGGGGACCCTTCAGTCTGCAGGCCGACGCTCTATCTACGGAGCCAAACTGGCTAGGGCTTTTTTTTTTAGTGGTTGAGATATTTTATTGCACCTTTGGTGACTGGTTATGGGGAGCAGTCCCTGCTGGTGTAGCACTCTGAAGAGGAGGCCATCTCAGGCCCGGTCCCTGTAGCTTAGGAGCCAGACTGGACTGAGCCCCCGGGGCTTCCTATGGAAACTGGCACAGTAAAATTACCTGTGATTATCAATAAAATCATAAAGTCTCGGTTTTGACTGCTCTTCAGGTTTTCCACTGGAAGTGTGCAAAGAGGTTGAAGGACATAGGCAGAGTTTTGTCTTAGCCTTCAATGGTGCCCGCCCACTTTCCTCTCATAGTTTGCTCAATTCAGCAGGTGCAAAGGGGCTGGCTCGTTCTCTTTTTGATTTCCTTCACAAGGTCTTCTCTTCGGACACCCACCTCTTCCCTGCTGGCCACTGAACGGAGCTTGATGACCCCATCCCGAGCTCCTGCTCACTGATGATGGGATGCCTGCCTCCTCACAGTACCGCAGCTGGTTCAGTAACTTTGGGTTTTTTCTTGTAAAGCAGCTCAGCCTTGATCCCACACCCCACAGCTCTGAGACGAGCTTCAGTCTCGCCTCCAGCAACGTCTGTGCGGATGCTACAGCACCTGTGTCTCTGTGGTCCATTCCTTCTCCTTCAACACCTCTAAGCCTCTGCTTCATGATGGAGAAGATCCGCTCCACACCAATGCTGAGCCCCACACATGGCACCTTGCACTCTTTAGGGTCAAACAGGCCCATCAGAGCGCCCTCCAGCAGCCACACTGCCCATACCAGGGGCTCGTCCCCTGCCTGGGTTGCAGTCTGTAGCAGCACCGCCTCATAGACCATCCCAGTATAGGAGTCCAGCCCTCGGGCAAGGCTCAGGTTGAAGGAGATCTTGTCAGCAATGCCAAACAGGGTCAAGCTTTTTTTTTTTTCTGATATATATATTTTTTATTTCAGAGAGGAAGGGAGAGGGAGAGAGAGATAGGAACATCAGTGATGAGAGAGAATCATTGATCGGCTGCCTCCTGCCTTCTACTGGGGATTGAGCCCATAACCGGGGCGTGTGCCTTTGACCGGAATCCAACTGGGGACCCTTCAGTCTGCAGGCCGACGCTCTATCTACGGAGCCAAACTGGCTAGGGCTTTTTTTTTTAGTGGTTGAGATATTTTATTGCACCTTTGGTGACTGGTTATGGGGAGCAGTCCCTGCTGGTGTAGCACTCTGAAGAGGAGGCCATCTCAGGCCCGGTCCCTGTAGCTTAGGAGCCAGACTGGACTGAGCCCCCGGGGCTTCCTATGGAAACTGGCACAGTAAAATTACCTGTGATTATCAATAAAATCATAAAGTCTCGGTTTTGACTGCTCTTCAGGTTTTCCACTGGAAGTGTGCAAAGAGGTTGAAGGACATAGGCAGAGTTTTGTCTTAGCCTTCAATGGTGCCCGCCCACTTTCCTCTCATAGTTTGCTCAATTCAGCAGGTGCAAAGGGGCTGGCTCGTTCTCTTTTTGATTTCCTTCACAAGGTCTTCTCTTCGGACACCCACCTCTTCCCTGCTGGCCACTGAACGGAGCTTGATGACCCCATCCCGAGCTCCTGCTCACTGATGATGGGATGCCTGCCTCCTCACAGTACCGCAGCTGGTTCAGTAACTTTGGGTTTTTTCTTGTAAAGCAGCTCAGCCTTGATCCCACACCCCACAGCTCTGAGACGAGCTTCAGTCTCGCCTCCAGCAACGTCTGTGCGGATGCTACAGCACCTGTGTCTCTGTGGTCCATTCCTTCTCCTTCAACACCTCTAAGCCTCTGCTTCATGATGGAGAAGATCCGCTCCACACCAATGCTGAGCCCCACACATGGCACCTTGCACTCTTTAGGGTCAAACAGGCCCATCAGAGCGCCCTCCAGCAGCCACACTGCCCACACCAGGGGCTCGTCCCCTGCCTGGGTTGCAGTCTGTAGCAGCACCGCCTCATAGACCATCCCAGTATAGGAGTCCAGCCCTCGGGCAAGGCTCAGGTTGAAGGAGATCTTGTCAGCAATGCCAAACAGGGTCAAGCACTTAAATAGCAGCTTCAGTTCTCCCAGGCCCTCCAAGGCCTGCTTGTTTTGAGGAAGTTGAGGACCCTAGAGCAGCTGTTCCACCAGGGATACCCGACCATGCTGCTGGCCATAGTTCCCAATTCGGTCAGCCACCCGGGTGCGAAGCCCTTCTCTCCCACCATCTCGTTCTTTACTTCCCCCCAGGACACCTTGTCCAGTTTGTCCACTGACGAGCAGATGGTGCGGAACTGGCTGCCAGGAACCCCACAGCTCTCAGACATCCCATCTGGGATGCGCTGATGGTTCACCTTGACCAGGAAGTCACCTGTCTATGTGAATTCAGGATCTGACACATGATCTTCAGGCACTCTGCATCAGGGGTCCTGGGGTCACATAGCCCGGCAATGTCAAAGTCACACTGGTAGAATTCCCGATCTCGGCCCCGGGTCATGGCTGGGTTATCCCGCCGATTTACTTGTGCTGTGTGGTAGCGCTGATTGTTGGTCAGTTTATTCATTGCCAATTATTGAGCAAAAGGAACAGTGAGGTCATATCGAAGGGACAGCCGCTCCCCACCCTGGCCCTTCAGGTCATGAATAAGCTTTAGAGCAGTGGTCCTCAACCTTGGCTGCACATTGGAATCACCTGGGAATCTTTTTAAAATCCTGATTTCTGGGCCTCATCCTCCGGAAATTCTGTTTCTTTGTTATGGGGCGGGGGCCACAACATTAGTAACAAAGAAACAGTTTCTGGAGGATGAGGCCCAGAAACCAGGATTTTAAAAAGATTCCCAGGTGATTCCAATGTGCAGCCAAGGTTGAGGACCACTGCTTTAGAGTCTTCCCCATACTTTGCAGTCAGTGTTTGCTTTAGTTCAAACACAGGTGTAGCAATGACTTGTGCACCTTGGCGCTTGAAGCAGCTGATGATTATATCAAACACCTTCTCCCGAACTGCCATCTGCCGGGGATTGTAGTCTCTTGCTCGGTTGGGGATTTTGAGCACAAACTTGTGCTTCCCTTCCTCAGGCCCCCGCTGTGTGGCTGTGCCTTCATTTTCAGTAGTTTTGCCAACTCCTCCTCGATCTGCTCAGTGCCGGCCTTCTGCTGTTTCAGTTCCCGCACATGCTCTCCCTGAAGTCGCACCAGCTCCTCAACTCACCCTTTGCCATACTGGCTGCAAACTGGAGAGTGCAAATTCGTGGCCTAACTTTAAGCCTCTTTGTCCCCATCTGTCAGATGGATGCAAAAACTTCTAAGTCCTGGTCTGTTGTGAGGACGAAAAGAGGTCCTGCATGCATGTAAAGCTTCAGGCAGCTGGCCGGTGTGGCTCAGTGGTTGAGTGTCGACCTACGAACCACTAGGTCACAGTTCAATTCCCAGTCAGGCCACATGGAGGTTTCGGGCTCGATCCCCAGTGGGGGGCGTGCAGGAGGCAGCCGATCAATGATTCTTTCTCAACGTTGATGTTTCTCTCTCTCTCTCTCCCTCTCCCTTTCTTTCTGAAATCAATAAAAAACATATTGAAAGCTTCAGGCAGGTAGTAAGGCTCTGTAAAGAATAGATAAGAATGTCATTATGGTACTTGAGACTACTGGTGCCTGCTGGGCCTTCCCAGGCGCTGAAGCAGTGCTCCAGGAGTCCACTGGGTGGCACTAGTGAACCTCAGTTGGCAAAGAAGGGAAGGTGAGTGGGAGAGGCCAAAGGGAGTTGTTCCTGGTCTCAATCCAGAAAACCACAGGGTTCCTTCCTTTGTTTTTAAGCACTTCTTTTTTTTGTGGTTTTGATTTCGTTATATCCAAGATCAAACCAATTCAAAACGTTGGTTATTCTATATTGTTGCCATAGTTAACAAATGCAGTATTACTTCTCAGAAACCTCAATAAGTCGGAGAGAGGCTTTTATTTGGAATGCTAGTTAAATTTTTATTCCACAAAGGATGCAAAGTGTATACTCGCCCTGAAAGTCTATAAGCACTCAGTGATCCCTCGGGATGCTTTCAGGGGTGGTGGGCAAGGTTTCTGAACTCCCCCAGGAAACGTTGGGTGCCGAAGCCTCACCCAAACAGAATGGCTAGTTTCGTTGTCGAGGTTTTCATTCTTGTTCTTGGCTATGTTGAAATTCTGTGGATTACTGAGGCCCACGTGTGGAAACCTGCTCATTTGCATGTTGGCGCTGTGGACAGCAGTGGCCACGCGACAGTGATAACCAGATGGCTCAGAACATCCATCTCAAACCCTTTATAGCAAGTTGTTATCTTGTGTTGTTTGTTTTTATCGGCTCCTGGCCTCACTGACACCTGATTTGCTGATACATTAGAAATACAAAAGGGCTTGTGACATTTTTTGGCAGTACAGGGATCATCAACACTTACTGTCCCAATCTCCTCATTAAATAGGAAAAAAAAAAATCTGTCCGCTAAAAACACCCCCCCCCCTTAATTTACCAATATTTTATGCCCTCCTGAAGCCAGAATACCTGGTTAATTGGCTGAGTTTTATATCTTTATCAGGATGTTTTAGTATCTTATCACCTTTACATTTGCAGTGGCTTCTCTTAAGCTCAGGAAACGTGGAAATGAAAGGCTCAAGTCAGTGATGGGTGGGCAGGCTAAATAACCATCTCAGACAGTGATTACAGAAAATGGAATTTATTTACGGAAAAGAGGGGGGGATATCCAAAGCGAAGAGCTGCACAGCACCGAACCCAGGGGGTATTGGATCGGTGATGGCAGCATAAACATACTACTCAGGACAGTGACACAGGGAAGGGCGCAGAAGCAGCAGCAGGAGAGCCTGGCTGGGCTGCCTTGGCTCTCTGGTAAGTCAGAGAAAAGGGGGCCTTGGAGGCAGGTGCAGGGGGTGAGCCCAGGATGAGCTGCTACTGCCCATTGCTCCCCTGGTTGCACGTCTCCTGGGGTCCTTTAGAGGATGGGGGACACATACATGTGGGAGAGGGAGAGGAGGAAGGGAATGGCATGGGCCTGCTCCTTGCGGGGAGAACGTGCACTGGGGCCTTTGTCCTGAGCACATTTATCTCTGTTTTGCAGGTGGGAATCTTAGGGGAGGCCTCAGGGGAGGGTCTTCATAGAATTTAGCAGCTTTTCAGGTGTGCTCTTTCAGGGTGGCGGTCTCCCCTCTTTCAGGCGATTGGTCCGTGCAGGGCAGAGGGTCTTTAGTCAATGCAGCTGGTCCTGTGGCAGCCATGGTGCCACTTGTCTGGTTTTGCTGCTTTTCTGGGCCTGGAGCTGAAATATAACTGAGGCCTAGATGTTATCTCTAGGGAGGAAAAGGTCAGGGGGTCTACACCACTTGACCAGTGATGAAAGATCAGGGGTCCAAACCGCATGACCAGTGACATGCGAGGGGAGAATGGGTTACCCTGGGGGGAAGTTCTTGTTTTCCCAGCTTTGCCTCTTGCTAGGCATCCGGGGTTTCCTGCCCTGGTGAGTTTCTGTACCTAGACCATCATCCTTGCTCTGCTCATATCTGTCTAACAAACAACTCCCAGGAATTCCTTTTTTCCCCAAGTTTCTTTTTCTTTTTTTTTTTTTTAATAGAAAAGTGATTTTATTTCAACACTTGGCCCATTTTTTCCGTTAATGAATCTCTGAGTTTGTTTAATTCTTTGTTTTGTCAGGTTTCTTATAGGCAACATGAGATTTGGAAGATGGACCACCATTTCACCTGGTCATTGGGTATCAACTTAATGAGACCTTGAACTTAGTCTCTGGAACAACTTCTCCACAGCCAGCCACTCTGGAGCTCACACTATCCAGGAACAAAGAGAATGTAAAATTTTGGAAAACTTGAGGAAGAAAACACCTTTATAATATCAATATATATTTTTTTCTTTTTTGGCACCTCCTGCTCACACCATCCCACCAGCTCCCCAACCCAAACGGATATCATTACAAAGGGTGCTTAATATAACTCAACTCAGGCAGGTGAGAAATGTGGTAATATTCTTTTTTGGAGTAGTGTGGACTCTGAAATTCTTACCAAGTGCTTGAAACACTTTTAGCAATTAAATAGTGGTGCACTTAAACGTGCACCGATTCGGTTTAGCTTTTATCGGGTTGACATTAATAACGAAGAGAGGTTCCCGATCTTTCAGCCTCCACACAGACACACGTGCCGCTGGGTACAATCTGTCTTTTCATGTGAGATTTCATTTCTGTATCTCACCTTACTAACCTCTCTGGTTAGTGGCCCGTTACACCGTCAAACCAGTCATGTTGCCTGGTCCTGGAGTGATTAGAAAGGAATGTCATCCTCTCCCCATCACAGGGTTGATACGCTCGCTCACAGGTGATCTCCTCACCTTACCGGGCAAGTTCGACTGGATCCATTGTCAGAGTTGCTGTCAAAATCACCGGGCCAAGCACTATCTGTCTTGACTTTCACCCTGGGATCGTTTACTTTGGGGGTGGGGGTGGGGAACGCGGCTCAGAAACAGCCTCAGCAGGACCACGGAAAACAGTCATCTCTTCTTGAAGAAGATGCGCCCTCAGGATAATGGGTCACATTGGCTCTTGATAATTGGTGAAGTGTTGGTTTGTGTCTTGTATGTATAGGTGTTGTCGCTCTTCCAGAATCATGCCTGTGCTGATTAGCCTTTTGGATATGTTTTGTTAACTTATTTGAAGACACTATAAATTACCACTAGTCTTCTGTTGTTATTAGCTGGAGCGTTAAAATGAATCTCAATGAATTAAGCAGAGAGTCACACTTTATCGTTTTGCCTGTGAAGAACAAATTTACTTTATAGGGAATAACATATTTTTAACTGTCCGGGATCCTGTGGAATTCAAATCAGTGTCACTTTAATGAGTTTTGTTTATTTTTTAAAAAATTGTACTATATTTTAGGAAACACGTGGAGTTTTAACATTCAGAAGTGTAAACTACTTAAAGGACTTGAATTTTTTAAATGTTTATTATTTTTTTTATAAGTTGTTTTTCTAAGAAAAGCATAATTGCAGAGGTGCTTTGTATATCAGCTGGTTTCCTAGCCATTTTCAACCTTTTTCATACTATGGATGAAGGGAAGAAAAATAAACCTACATGTATGTGTACAGTGCACATGGGGCTCCCTTGTGTTCTTACTTACACGTGGTTTCTCATAGCATCGTGCTCCTCGGTTGCTATTACTGTGACTGGATGTTGGCTGGTTTTGCGCCCAGCGGTCCAGGTCTTGGACAGAGGCTGAGTGTGTGTACCCACCTCCCCCTTCCCCTCAACCCCCATGACCTATTGCACCCAGAGTTTGCACAGGTCTCACTCCAAGGATGCTTTAATTTTTTTTAAAAAATGATTTTTTAAAATATATTTTACTGATTTTTTACAGAGAGGGAGAGGGCTAGAGAGTTAGAAACATCCATGAGAGAGAAACATCGATCAGCTGCCTCTTGCACACCCCCTACTGGGGAGGTGCCCGCAACCAAGGTACATGCCCTTGACTGGAATCAAACCTGGGGCCCTCAGTCTGCAGGCCGATGCTCTGTCCATTGAACCAAACCGGTCAGGGCTCCAGGGATGCTTTAGAGCAGTGGTTCTCAACCTTCCTAATGCCGCAACCCTTTAATACAGTTCCTCATGTTGTGGTGACCCCCAACCATAAAATTATTTCTTTGCTACTTCATAACTGTAATTTTGCTACTGTTATGAATCGTAATGTAAATATCTGATATGCAGGATGTATTTTCATTGTTACAAATTGAACATAATTAAAGCATAGTGATTAATCACAAAAACAATATGTAATTATATATGTGTTTTCCGATGGTCTTAGGCGACCCCTGTGAAAGGGTCGTTTGACCCCCAAAGGGTTGGCGACCCACAGGTTGAGAACCGCTGCTTTAGAGCTTCCCCTCCACCCCTGGCCATGGGGAGGTGTGCTTTTATTTGAAACCAGGTGGATCTGGATGAGTCCCTCACCTGTGCGGCTCTCTAATGGATTGTTCCGCATTTGGAACTCATGTTATTTCACTGTACTGCTTTAGGGCAAAAGTTTCCTCCCCGGCTTTGTCATGTGGAAGCACACTTTCACTCCGTTTTCTAAAGAAGCCACTGTAGTTGCCGATGTCGAAATGTGCTGTCATGAGGTGGTGGTTCCAGCAGCCGTCACAAGGCCTTGGGTGAAGCAGAGCACTGCTGGCTGAAGGGCAGGTCCCAGCCGGGCAGCCTGGATGTGGCTGCTGGCATTGCTCTTTTCCATTCAGTGTAAGCATGTCTGATAATGGCCCTGTGGCTGCTGGAACTAAAATAGAGGCCCCGGGGTTGAATTCTGAGCTCAGGTTCCAAAGCTCTTCCTGCTTCTCCGCTGAGACCTCCAGCTCTGCGCTGGGGCCTCCCAGGGACTGAGATCCAGTCTGTTCCCACCACGGTGTGGATCCATCACAGTCTTTCCCAGTGGGACAGCCTGCAGGTGGCCAGCCATCGTCCTTCCATGGAAGCCCATCCTTGCTGCTCGCTGTGACCTCTGGCCTGAGCCCCACCTATAGACAGGGCCCGCTCTCTGCAGTGGCAGCAGTGTTTTATTGTCAAGCGAGTTGGAAAATCCAAAGGATGGTTTTGTTCCTTAAGAAAACCTAATGGCAGGGAGGAGCTTGGAGGAGTTCAGTGAGTGTGGAACTTCTCCTTGGCCGTAGAGGCCGATTGTGAAGGGAAATCTCACCCGGACCCTGCACTGGCCAAGCATCCAAAAATGGTGCTGCTCTGGCCGGGGGCACTACCAGGGCACTCCTGGGGGCTGCTGAGGGGCTACTAGGGAGCCCTGCCGACCCTGACCCACTCTTGTCGGGCGGTGTGGGGACCAGCCGATGAGATGGCTACTAGCATCTCTTAAATGATCGTCCGGGAGTTTGTTTCTAACACATCTGCCACGGGAAAGCGATCATGTTCCAGTTCACCAGTGTGGCGTGTTGGCACGTGGTTTCCGAAGGATAGTAACCACATCATCCCAAACGGTGGATTGTTTAAATCAACGGGCTTATGAATTTGGGAGACTCCTGTCTGCGAGTCACTCGTGGGTCATTCCAGTTTATGGAGGAATCTCTAAAGAAAAGAAGGTATGTGATGGGGTCTAGCTTCACCAATGATTTCTATCAAATGGGGCAAGAATCTGAAAAATGAGTAATTTGCCACACAGATGACATGGGGTGGCCAAACACATTTCCCTCGCTGTTCACAGGGATCTGAATTGGGATCTGGTGGGAGGGTTC